AAGCGGTGATAATCCCTCCTTCACAAGATCCCAAAAATATTGGTAATAGAAAACCACCTTAATCTGCTTGCACCAACTCTCATAATTATCTTACTTGAGAATTGGAAGATTTGCTGGAAAGTGGCTGTACGGATTATTCATCGTCATCACAGTTGTTCTTCTCTTGAATCAAAACTGGAGCTCTAGATACCATATGTTGGATTCAACCACGATCTATGGTGAATTCTTCTCAATCTTGATCTCAAGATTGCTATGTAATGACAATGAACAAAAACAAGAGCATGTTAAAAGAAGATGAGTATGAACTGCAGAGTAACTATCTGCCCACAACTGTGGAATTTTATTATCACTTTGCAACTGTAAAACTGTGATTATCAAAATTGATGATTACAATGATAAGGGTTCCTCTCTATTTATAGATCTAGGTTAATTTGCATCTCAAGTTAAAGGACAAACTATAAAAGTCCAAAATTATCTATTCTAATATTTCTAAATCAAATTTAATCTTTATAAAATAAAGAATTGCATATTTAACACATTCGACGTATTACTATTGACCTTGACAAATTTATAATAAATTACAATGAGTATAATATATTATTTTTTACCTTTTTAATTGATAATTTTAAATATCAATTAAAAATACTTGTTATATAATATTATTTTATATTTATCAATTAGTTTAGAATATAATTTTATCAAATCTTTCAAATTGAGTTAAGTAGTTTATCTTTATATTATCTGCTATTAACTAATTTATATGTCAAATATTATTTAATTCGTTTCACGAAAAATCTGATAATTTGTAACAAACTCCTGAGAAATTATAAAAAGTTAAAGAATGATAAAATTGTCGCAATTTATTACTTTATAATATCTATAACTACTTATTATTTCATTTTGTCAATTCATCTGTCTTCTATAAATAACAACAATAGTATTATTGACAAGTTTATAAGTAATGATAAACTAAAGTTTGAAAACGACAAACTAATCCAAAACAAAATTTTTGCAAATGCAAAATGTAAAAGAGAAATGGAGGAAATAATGAATTCATATTACCATAAATAAACTGTGAAAATTAATAATATGACTATATAAATCATAAATCATTTAAACTCTAATTTAAATAAATTGTTGTGAAGCAATATGGGTCCATTATTTAACAATAAGAGCCGTTGTGTTGACCCAATTAACCTTTGAAAGTGAAGAATCTCGTGAATAACATAAATGACCAAATTCTAACTCATTTATTACTATTCTCTCATTTCTCGTGACCACACTTACTCAACACCAACTCATTAACCTCATTCATTTATTACATCAACAACAACAACAATGCCTCTATAAATAATATATATCACATGATCAAATCACACAAACTCTAAATTCAAAATGACTCGTATCAATTGGAACTCTGCCTTGTCATGTTTTACTATATTGTTGTTTTTGTCGGATTTAGTAATGTCTTACACGGTTGAGATCTCTTATTCCAATAACTCCACCGTGCCTTCTACTTCCACACCACTAATTGACGGCATTTCCGCCAAACAAGACAGTGCCAAAACCGATAGTCGCGAGCAACAAGCGGTTTATGATATTATGAAGGCCACGGGCAACGATTGGGCCACCGATATTCCCGACGTTTGTCGTGGTCGGTGGCACGGTATCGAATGCATGCCGGATAAGGACAATGTTTACCACATTGTCTCCCTCTCCTTTGGTACTCTCTCCGACGATACCGCATTTCCCACGTGTGATCCCACACGTTCCACTATATCACCTTCTATCTTAAACCTCCCGCATCTTAAGACTCTTTTCTTTTACCGTTGTTTTAGGTATAATCCTCATCCTATACCATCTTTTCTGGGCCAATTAGGTCCATCATTCCAAACACTTGTTCTTAGGGAAAATGGACATGTAGGCCCAATTCCTAATGAGTTGGGTAATCTTACTCATCTTAAGGTTCTTGATCTTCATAAAAATAATCTCAATGGTTCGATACCGGTTTTATTGAATCGTATAACTGGTTTGAAATCATTAGATTTAAGTGTTAACCGGTTCACCGGTTTCATACCTAATTTGACTTTACCAAATTTAAATGTACTGGATTTGAACCAGAATCATCTAATAGGCCCAATCCCTTCTACTATTTTGGAGTGTCACTCTTTAATGAAACTCGATTTCAGTCGCAATAGGCTCTCGGGCCCAATACCAGATAAACTAAAAGGCCTAAATGATCTTATGCTTATGGATTTGAGCTTCAACCGTATTCAAGGCCCATTTCCAAAGTCACTAAAAGGCTTGAGTTCATTACAGGCCTTAATTCTAAAAGGAAATCCAATGGACTCAACAATAGTACCCGAGGACGGGTTCAACGGTATGGATGGTTTAATGATCTTAATTATGTCGAATACGAATTTGCACGGCCCGATCCCAGAATCGTTAGGTAAATTACCTAACCTTCGCGTGCTTCATCTCGACGGAAACCACTTCAACGGGTCAATCCCGAAAAGCTTTCGAAATTTAAAATACTTAAGTGAGCTTAGGCTGAATGATAATGGGCTAATTGGGCCAGTTCCATTTGAAAGAGAAATGGTTTGGAGAATGAAAAAGAAACTAAAGTTGAACAACAATTTGGGCCTTTGTTATGATGCAAGTAGTGGGCTTGGAGATAGTGTGGGATCTGATTTTGGTATTGGTTTGTGTGATAGTTCAAGCCCAGGTTTGGTTAGGACAGTGCAACATGTTTCAGACATAAAAAGCCCAGCCCAAGATGTTTCAAACTCACCATCAAAATCTGCAGTTAGAAGCCCATTGGGCCTAGCTACTTTTGTAGTCTTTGTTACTTTAATTTTCTTGTAAGTAAAGTATATATTCATTTAGTATAGCATAGGAAAAGAATCTTAGAAAAACCTTGTAATACTCTATTAGCAATATCAATGGTTATTTTTGATGCTGATTTTAATGAAAAAGAGATTGTATGTATATTTTGTAGTTAGAAAAGAGAAAACAACCTAGTACCTACAGTATCATAGTATCATGGATGATGTAGATGTTTTTTGAAAGTGTTACTAATAGTTACCCTTTCATTGCACCATAAATCAAATATATGTATCCAAATCTGCAATTAGTATGCTTAAAAAGATATGTCGGCTGATGTTTGCATAGGAAAACATGGTCAACAAATTTTAATAACCTACATGAAAAAGGAATAATTTATGGTCCTTTTTCTTTTTTGGGCTCTAAGTCTTTGTAATTCAAATCTTTTGTGCACGACCTTGAAATATGATAGTAGTAGGAATTAGTAATCTATAGATAAAACGAATGTTCTTTCTAAACAAACGGAACAAGAGTTTGAAATATTTACTATTCAAATCAGGGCTGGGTTATCAAAACTACCGCTTAGGACTTTATTTTTTTATTTATATTTATATATGATTTTATTTAATAATTTTTTATTTATAAAAGAAAGTTAAATTATGTTATATACTAATTAAGTAATAAAATTTATTTAGAATATATAATAATATATATTGTTCGAGTTATTAATTTAAAAATCACATGTATAAATAATAAAATTTTGAATTTTTTTAACATAGTAGGAGATTTGATATCTATTTTTAATTTTTTTTAATTATAATTTTTTAAATAATAAAAAGAGTGTTTAGAAAACTTAATTTTATTATTAAAATAAAATATTAAACAAAATGAATTATAATAATTTAATAGTATTACATCCTAAAACATCTAAAATATATTAATTTAATATATATATATATATATATATATATATATATATATATATATATATATATATATATAGATATATAAATATATATCTAATATTAAAAATATTTAAATTTTGTCTCAGGTCTCGAGATGTGTTGGACAGACTCTGATTCGAATGGACAATTGTTTCGTCAGTTTGAGAAAAGGTGAGTAAGTTGTGTGAGTGTGACCGTTTTTGTGCTGGATGCTTTTGTTTCTTTTTTTTGAAGTGGTGCGGATTCGGTAACAACAAAGACGAAAATCTTAAGTTAGAAGTTATTTGGTTGACACTTATTTGGAGCATATGGAGTGGAGGGTGAGAAATGATATAATTTTTAACAATAAAAGTTATAACATTGATAATAATATTTTTTAGAACATCAAATTTTATGTTTAGAAATGATCTTGTAAAAGAGAAATTCCTTCCTCCAACTCTAATTTTCTTTTTTTTCATAAATCTATTAAACACTTAAGTCAATCTTTCATAAATGGGATGAGGGCGGCCGCCAAAAAAATCGGTGCCTCCACCACCATTATTTCTGGTGGTCTCTACTCCGGTAACTCAATCGAACTCGCGAAGCCACACTGTCAGCAAGAATCTCAGCACAGCAGAAATTAGGGGAATCAAAGACCTTGGAGAAACCTTAGATGCTCGGGAAGACGGAAGTATTGAGGAAAAGCGCAAAGAAGTAGACCTGGAAAAACCTAATCAAATTGCAACTCTTGAAGAAGGGCGGAAGCTATGGGCTGATGTGTTAAAGGATAATAGGAATCCGGCGAAAGGTCGTGCTATGAAGTTCATACCCCCTCAAGTCGTGGATGGGAAAATAGAGGTTCTAATTGAAGAAGATGATGTCAGTTCTGAAGTCAAGTTCTGGGAATCTTCTCTGATTCTTTATGCAATGGGAGCGAATTTGAGTATGAATGATGTCAAGAATTTTATGACCAGATCTTGGAACTTTGTTCAACTGCCGGACATGTATTTCAATGATGAAGGGTATTTCATTCTCCGGTTCAAATCATTCACAGATCGAGACGAAGTTTTGCTGAGAGGACCGTACATGTTAAGAAACATTCCTTTGTTGATTCGTGAATGGAGACCAGATTTCAAGATCAAGGATGAGCTATTGCGAACCCTACCTATTTGGGTAAAACTTCCCCAACTCCCTATCGTTTTGTAGGGTGATACAAGCCTGAATAAGATTGGGAGTGCCCTGGGTAAGCCTATTATGACAGATGAATGTACTGCTAATAGACTGCGAGTATCCTATGCGCGCATTCTTGTTGAAATGGATATTACAAAGGAGCCTCCTCAATCAATCACCATTGCTGATCATGAAGGAGAAAAGATGCAACAATCAATTGAATATGAGTGGAGACCTTTATTCTGCAACAAATGTCAAAAGGTAGGTCATTGTTGTGATAAGCCTAAGATGAGGAAACAATGGATACCTAGGAATGTGAAGCAACCTGAAGCTAATGTGATGTCAAACAAGGCTGAGGATGATAATCAAGGGCCTATTGAAGTAGGAAATGTCAATATGGATATAGTTCAGATCAGGAAGGGTAATGCTAGTACTACTGCTGATGAGAGTCTTTCTATCAGAAACAAGGATGTGGAGACAGTTATGGAAAAATGGACTGAGGTTATTAAAAGTGGTAGAGATAGAGGAAAAAAGACAAGTAATGTTGGTGCTGCAGGTGTGCTTTCGTATGATAATGGGTTTGATGCTCTAGAGATTTTGAAGGATCTCATAGAGGCTCAAAACACAGGCCAATGATTGTCTCTTGGAATCTCAGGGGGTTGAATAAAATGGGGAAGCTAAAGGAGACTAGTTCTCGTCTCCTAAACCTTCATCCCAAAATTGCAATACTACTAGAAATTAGAGTTAAATGTGATAAAGCAAAGAAAGTTAGAGAATGTCTTAACCTCAGAGGTAAATATATTGATAACTACCAAGCTCATTACAATGGCAGGATTTGGATTTTTTGGGATGATAGTTACAAGGACATCAGAGTGGTGAGTTGCACATCTCAGATGATACACTGTGGAATATATGATATCAATGGTAACTTCCAAAACTGGTTGACAGCCATTTATGTTATGAATCAGCTGGACCAAAGAAGGAAATTATGGGAGGATCTGGTGTACATACATAACAACCAACAAGGGCCTTGGTTCCTTATGGGTGATTTTAACAACGTGACAAAGTCCATGGATAGGATTGGGGGAAACTTGGTGACTGAGAGAGAATATGTTGATCTAAGAAACTTGATGGATCATGCTGGGCTTTTTGAGAAGGACAACACAGGTGATTATTTTACCTGGACAAATAAACATTCTGTAGGTACTATATACTCAAAAATTGATCATGTGCTTGGTAACATTGAATGGCTGCAGGAAAACACTGATGTGAATCTAGAGATTCTCCCACCTAGTATTTCTGATCACTGCTTACTTTGTTTGTCTGACCAGAAAAGAAACAGGATTGTACACACCAACTTCAAGTTTACTAATAGTGTGATAAAGGTGGCTGGGTATCAGGACATTGTAAAGCAGAGTTGGCATAAAGTGTGTGTGGGAAGACCTATGGCTCGGTTGTGGTACAAGCTTCTGAGGTTGCAGGCTCCTCTTATCAAATTGAGCAAGCAGTTCTCTCATCTCCATATGTCCATTATAAAAGCCAGGACTGAGCTTCTCAAAGCGCAGGAAGAGTTATTGGTGGACAGAATGAATGTAGGGAGCATTGAAAAGGTGAGAAAGTTTACTGATGAAGTGATCTACCTGCAGGACCTAAATGTTAAAATGCTTAGACAGAGATCAAAACTGGATTGGCTTAAAGAAGGTGACACAAATTCAGCTTTCTTCTATGCCTACCTCAACTCTAGAAATACAGTTACTCACCTCAGTCAACTTCAAAAGGAGGATGACACTTATATTCAGAATATTCCTGACATTGAAAGAGAGGTTTGTGACTTTTATGGTAATATGTATGGGACTAAAGAACATAGGGTGAGTATGATTGATATCAATGCTATGAGGGAGGGACCCCAGTTAACTATGATGCAGAGAGCTGATCTTATTACCCCTGTTACTGTTGCTGAAATCTGTACTGCTATTAAAGGGATTGGGGACTTAAAGAGCCCTGGTATTGATGGGTATGGTGGAAAATTTTTTAAGGCTAGTTGGGAGATCATAGAGCAAGATGTTGTTGAAGCTGTCCAGGAATTATTCGAGAAAAATGTGTTGTACAAAAGATTTAATGAAACAATTGTTACTTTGATCCCTAAACATCCTACTGCAAAAATGATAAAAGAGTATATGCCTATTGCATGATGCACAACGGTTTATAAAATCATATCCAAGATCCTATCTGCAAGACTTGGGAGAGTTTTCGGGTCTATAATCAGTAAAGCTCAGGCAACATTTGTACCAGGTCGGAATATTCACTCTCACATTTTATTGGCTAGGGAATTGTTAAAAGGTTACAATAGGAAAAATGGTACGCCAAGATGCATGGTCCAGCTTGACATTCAAAAAGCTTATAACATGGTTGATTGGGGTGCTCTTGGAAATATCCTCAATGAGATAGGGATGCCAAAGAGGTTTGTTGATTGGATTATGACTGCTGTTACCACAGTCTCTTATAGATTCAATATAAATGGCAACTACACTGACAAGATTGAAGCAAAAAGGGGTATTAGACAAGGGGATCCTTTGTCCCCCCTTCTGTTTGTGATTATTATGGAGTACCTTAGCAGGATGCTGGTCAGAATGCAAAAAAATCCGGATTTCAATCACCATTCCAGATGTGAAAAGTTGCAGCTCACCCATATTACATTTGCTGATGATCTCCTGCTGTTCTCTAGAGGGGATAAAGGCTCCATGGAAATTCTGGAGTGCACCATCATTAGTTTCTTGGATTCAATAGGTATGAAAATTAACCCCACCAAGAGTAAAGTGTATTTTGGTAGTGTCTCAGATCCTGTTAAGCACTCAATTCTGAATTTTACTGCTTACAATGAGGGGAATCTCCCATTTAGATATCTTGGAGTCCCAGTGAGTAGTAAAAAGCTGTCTGTGGTTCATTATATGTCGTTGGTGGATAAACTGTTGAGTAGGATAACTCATTGGAGCTCTCGACTTCTTAGCTATGCCGGTAGATTACAGTTGATTAAAATTGTACTGTATGCTATTACTTCGTATTGGATGCAGTGTATTTGTTTCCCTAAAACTGTGATTAGAAAAATCAATGCCATTTGCAGATCCTTTCTCTGGACAGGAGGAAGCACTATAAGTAGGAAGAGTCTGATTGCCTGGGATAAGGTTTGTAAACCTGCTGTAAAAGGAGGGTTGAATGTGCTTGATTTAGTGGCATGGAATAGCATGTTTATGATGAAGTTACTCTGGAATATATGCATGAAAACTGATGATCTATAGGTTCGGTGGATACACGCCTATTACCTGAAGAATGAGGATGTTATGAATAGAATGGTTAAGAATTCAGATTCAAATATTTTAAAAACTATTCTTCTGCAGAGGGAAAATATAGGAAATATGCAGGATATTTGGAATGAGATGGTGCAAGCAGGGAGATTCATTGGTAGGAGAGTGTATGTGAACTTGTTACTTGCCACACCTAATGTTGTCTGGGCCAAGCTAATTCTCCATAATAGAGCTAGACCTCGTGCAATATATACTCTCTGGATGATCTGTCATGGGAAGCTAGCCACAAAAGCCAGATTGAATCGGTTTGGTATGGTGAATAATAACAAATGTGTTTTTTGCTCTGCGGTGGAAACCATTGACCACCTATTTTTTTAGTGTACTATTTTGAGGCAGGCTTGGGTTGAAACGCTTCTATGGATTGGTATCCCTCACACTCCCGGGAATTGGAATGAGGAGAAAAACTGGATTTTGAATTATTATGGAGGTAAAGGTTGGAAAGCTGATCTTGTTAGATTAGCTCTGACTGAAACTCTACATGAGCTGTGGAGCTTTAGAAATGGCACTTGTTTTAATCAAAAAAATGACAATAGGAATTGTACAGATAGAATCATTAACAACATAGTTTATAGAGGGTGGTCGAGTCCTAAGCTCAGACCACATATAGCTTTTTTGATGGTACCGTAAGTTATTTCTTGGTTGGGCTGGATTTCGATCGCCTTGTATTATTTCTGACTTTGGATTAATGAAAATTTTTGATTCAAAAAAAAAAGTTTTTCTGATTTTGTATTGTAATGGGTTCAATACCCCCTTTATTCTATTCTATTAATTTCATTTGCTTTTAAAAAAGGGTTACTTGTTATCTTTAATAAAAAAAAATATTGGGGGTGTAATATTATTATTCAAGTGTTATACTTATGTAATTTGACACCTCAATAAATACATAAAACATTTGGATAGTGTTGCACCATTCAACAACTTTTAATTTGTTTAGTAAATTTCATGAGAAGATTGAAAAAAACATAATAACAATTAAATTAACTTAAATGTATTTGCTTTTCTTAGTTTGAAGTTACTTTTAAAAAAAATTGTCTTAAATTATAAATTATTATACACTTCTAATATAATATTAATAATTTTTCTTCCAACATACCCTCTATTATTTATCATTATTTATTGATAATGTAAAATAACTTATATTGTGGTACAATTTTTTAAAACGGTTTATAATAAAAAACAGAATCTATATATACACACTGCGTGTCAGGATGCATCGCGGGTGCGAGAATTCCATAAACAAAATCTATGTTTTCTTCTCTTTTTATTTACAATTTTCACTAAGTCTTTATTTCTTCCTTGTCTTAAATTTTTGCTCAATTCTTTACACTTTGATATGACTTTTGCTCATTATTCTTTTGAATTCATTCGAATTTTCACATAAAAATTACATAATTACGATTGCCATCAATCATATTAAATATCTTTAGGATATTTGTGATGTAGTTCCTCCGTTGAACTACCTTGCTTTTTATGGTTGCAATAATTAACTTCAATAACAAAGAAATAACTTAGGCCTCTTAAGTCAGTCATATCAAATTAAGTACTCGTGCGAAATTTGAGATTCTCAATATCATCCTAATTTGTGATAATTAGATCATCCATATAGAGACATTATACCAAAATTGCTTAGATCCATGTCTTTCACATATATCATGTGTTCAACTATACAAAGAATAAGAAAGAAGATTATAAACATGATAAAAAAAAACACAAATGTAGAATGGATTGAGGATTCTGGAATCATCAATAAAACGTTTAAGATTTCTACCATAAATTATATACCACAAATGTGGAGACTGAAGCTTTGATACAAACTAAGATCAACTTCCATTGTTAGAAGAAAATTTTATGAATAATTTAAATGAAGAGTTAAAAGAGGAGGAAGTCAAGAAGGTTGTCTATGACATGACACCTTGGAAATCCTCAAGCCATGATGGATATCCTATTGGATTCTATCAAAACTCTTGGAATATAGTAGAAGAAATGTTTGTAGCTATATAAATAACATATGGGACAATCCTGATGATATTGCAAAGGTAAACTATACAGGCTTATGCTTTATATTCCTAAAGTTCTAAACCTTTAATTTTTGAATATGTTTAAGCTCATTTCTATGTGTAACTCAATAAAGTGTTAATCAAAATTATAGTGAATAAATTGAAGAAGGGTATAGATAACATAATGTTTCTCTATCAAATAGGTTTTATCCCAAGTAGGAGTATACAAGATAATATTGTTGTTGCTAAGGAAATGATTCATAGTATGAATAATGTA